AGAGCTATCACAGCACTATTGGCTATTGCTGCTCCTGCTCCCTGGAGAGAAGGGTCCCTGGAGCGACGCTGCTGCCCCGGGGCATCCCTGCTGCCTCCGTCCCCTGCCCTGGGGCTCAGCCCCAGAAGGGTTTGCCTTCAGCCAGGGCATCTCCTGGCTGATTTCTCCATCACTAAATGAATTGTGTCAGACACAACCTGCACATGGGTTTCTTTAACACTTTGAGGGGGTGACTCCAGTGCTAGCAGGGATGGGGGGACCAGCCATGGTCAAGCGTGACCAGCCATGGCCAGGAGTGACCTGGGGTAGCTCCCATGGTGAGACAGAAGAAGAAAAACCCAATTCTTCCCTCTGAGGAGAAGCATTATTTCCAGCATCACGAGAAAACAAAGCAGACCAAGAGGGATTATTTTCCCCAAACAAGATGCTGTTTGAAAACACCCACTTGGAGTCACGCATCATTTTTTTGCCTCCCTGCTTGTTGCAACTTTGCCAAATCCAAAAATTTCAATACTGAGTTGGCCTCTGAATTCATGAGACCAGGTTCAAATTCCTGAGATTGCTGTTTTGTTTTGAAAAAATCTCATTCTTTTCATTCACTGCCTACAGCTGGAGCCCTAAAAGACCCCATTTTCACGTGTCTCTCTGACCACATTGGCTAGAAACACCCTTTTGCTCCCCCTTCCCCCCCGTTTTCCTGATTCCCCATCGATCGAATGAATTCTGGAGCCGGGCCTTGAAGCAAACACGAAGCGTTGGGAGATTTGCAACTGATGGTAGGAGTTGTCAAGAGCTGTTGTCAGCACAACGTACAAGATGTGCATGAACCATCCCCAGCAACTGTTCCTTCCCAAGCCAGCTCTTCTGACAAGACAGAAAGCACACGGAGCCGCCTTTCCCGGCGCAGATACCCGCTGCAGAAGACGAAACGCGAGCTTACCCTGCTGTCAGTTTGAGCGGCGTTGGGTTGGAGCTGGAGAAACACCCCCGCGCACGCACACGCCTGCTCCCACCTGCTTTGGCTCAGCCCCAGCCGTCCCCGCGCTGCGTCGCGCATCCAAGGCTGAGCGGGTTTCGCTGCCGGGACGAGTCTCGGTGCCCAGAGTCGGGCTGGGACTAGTGCTTTTTAAAAAATTGGTTTTTTCACCCTGTGCTTTTGGAAAAACAAGGGGAGAGCTGGGCAGAGGCATGAGCCCCAGCCTGGCGTCTTCTGCCTCAAGGTTCTGCTGCTGTGGGCCCCTCCCCGCCTGCGCTCCCGGCCCCCCGACTTCCTCCATCCCATGCGGCCACAGCACAGCCCCCTCATCCTGCTGAGCTCGTGGTCCCTCACATCTCCTCCTTGTTTCTTGCCCTGTTCTCCACTTAGTAGGAGAGGTCCGTGCTGTGCCAGGAGCACCACCGCCAGCAGAGCAGAAACACACAAAGGTGCTTCCCCAAAGCCAAGACTCCTCCAGCCTTGGCCTTGCACGGGCAGCTCAGCTAAAGCAGATTGTCCTCACTGCTGCAGAGCTGCACCTCAAGATCTGCTGTGAGACGCCTCAGCAGCCACAGGGCTAGTGACCCAAATGAGAGAGAACACCCAAATATGTTTGGAACCCCCCCCCCGCGTGTGCTTTGGGTCTCGGTCTGGGGTATCTGAGCTGGGGTTGGCAGGATCTCCATGGGGGTTTTAGCTGGGCTCCGAAACGCACCACACACGTGCCGTTTTCTTAGGAGAGCCAGGCTCAAGGTTTGTCCTCCCTGGCTTTCACCTCTGTCAAACGCCTGCCTAATGAGATTTATTAAATCAGCAAACTTCTGTATAATAACGACAGGAACGCAGATTTCCTCTGCTCAGCCCGGGCTTGCTGCAACCATGCAGGGCAATCAGAGGTGACTCGCAGGGGGGCTCGGCCAGGACCCCGGGAGGGCTGGCTGTGTCCCCGGGCTGCAGAGCGCAAGGCTGGCTTCATGGCAGTGCTGAGAAACCTGGTGTTTATCTACATATAATGATTTTTTTTACCACAACTGGATTAACATGGCAGGTGGTTTTCCTCTGGAGGAGCTGCAAGGTAAGGTCTCCTTAAGTCAAGGATCCAAACAGCTGTTGCTAATTGGCAATAATTTTTAAGTTCCCCACCTGGAGGCAGTTGAGTTTGCTGAGGGAGCAGTCTGCAGCACGGAGGCTGAGGAAGGACCCTGGCTCCTGGAGCGGGAAGCTGTCGGTGAGCCCCAGCGCTGGAGGATGCTCTCCCCGGGAGTGGGGGCCAGCAGCAGGTCAGCACCCCGAAGGGGTTCCCTAGATGCGGGCAAGGTGTTTGGTTTGGGTTATCTTGTAGCTCCCTTCCAGCGGCAGGAACAAATATTTCCTTGGTGTAATGACTGGAATGATGAAAATTCACTGTCTTGGTGCTAAATGGCGAGCAGCCTCCTGGTCCGTGTCCCCAGCTCGTCCCACGGGTAAGGGCTGCGATGCCCTTCCTGAAGTGGGTTCGCACAGCAGCAGGGAGGGACCCCTCGGATCAGGGTGCTGTAACTACGTGTCTTTAAGCCTCTCTAATCTGCTAGTGGTGAAAGAAACAGCCTCTAGACCCTGCCATAAATCCCTATTCCACGCCAGCAGGTGGGTGAAGGGTGGGAAGATATGGCCTTCAACTGTGAGGAGCTTTCCCCGGTGTGCAGCTGCTGCGTACTCTGCCATAGCTCGACAGCTTTTGCAGTCGGATCCAGGGCTGAGGAGCTCAGCTGAAGTTTTTCTCGTCTGCGTAGCCTCTCCAGTGGCGTGGGACAGGCGAATAGAAGCGCTGAGACTTTGGATTTACAGTGTCAGGCTTTAAATGCAAACAGCTAAACTGGGAGGGGGGGGGGAAGCGAGCGCCGCAGGGGCACCAGGAGCAGCTCCAAGGCCAGTGCTTGGACTAACTCGATGTCTCCAGAGCTGGAGACAGTACTCTGATCTCTGTCATCAATTCTTCGAGCCATGCTGCTAATCCTTTGTATCAGTGCAAACGTGAGAGGAGAATCTCTCTGTTGTTTGCTTGCTTTGGTGAGACCTTCCCTCCTTCCTCCCGCAAGGTGCGGGCTTGAGGACACAGCCCGGACCTCGAGGTTCCGGGAGAGCTCGGGGGCACAGACCCCGGGCGCTGGCTCAGTTGTGCCAAAGAGGTGTTTGGTGACTCACAGCATTGCGCTGAGCGAGAGGTTGTCACGGGGAACAAAATGCTGTCTCCTGGCAAAAAAACAATGGAGAAAGTCTCTTCTGTGGGCTTACCCACTGAGTGCAATGTGGTGCTTAAAAATCGCCCTGGGGAAAAGTGATGGGCAATCTGGTCGAACGGGATTAGCTGTGCGAGTTTCCAGTAGGTGTTGTTGCTCTAAGGGCTGTGTCCACGAAGGAACCTGCATCAAAGTAGATGTTTAGATAATGTCAAAGGCTCTTTGACCCCAGCGCCGTGCGTGAGGGGAGGGCATGAGTCACAAAGGAGATAGCACCGGTTTCCTTGTGGCTCAACCTTTTACATTCTTCACCTTTTGAATAAAAATAAGTAGTAATAAATCCAGCAGACCCTGGAAAACCCCCTTAGACTCCAGTGCCAAGGTGAACAAGGTCCTCGAAGGAGAATGCGCACAAAAAATTGGTCATGAAATCAGCAGCAACATTGAACTGATGAGCAGTGACTCAAATGGCAGCCTGGGCCCTCTGAATACCACCAACATCAACGAAGCTCCAGCTGAAACCATGAGTCCCGGGTGCTGTGTGCCTTGGCTTCTTGGCCACCTCTGTTCACTTTCTGTTGCCACCGAGAGCCACCTTTCTTGTGGCTGTGCTGCTATTGTTTAATGACAGTCCTGCCTGCTTATGCTAAATGTCAAGTAACCCTTGAGTAAGCAGGAGCTTTCCAAGCCCCACCCCAACTGCTTGTTGCTGTTTTCTGAAGCCTGTAGGCTGTTTTCTGCCTCGCCTTATGCAGGTATAAACCCAGAGTAATCCTGCTCAAGTACACAGAATTATTCCTATTTCACAGCAGAAGTAGGATCAAACCGAAGCTCCGGGAACAGCAGTTTATCTTCCCAGAATAAGCACTTGTTTTTCTAATATGATTGCAGATTAATTCCAGAGATAATGTGATACCATGTAATTGAGAGTCCCCTGAGCTGGTACCAGAGTCTATTTTTGCTGAGCCTTCCACAGACCAGTGGGGATGTTCTTGCACCACCAGTAATGGAGATATAGGGAGATCTTGCTTTTTTTGAAGGTTTGTGTCCTACACCCCTGTGCTGCTGAAAGTCTCTCACTCATCCCAGAAAATCAGTGCAGTAATGAATTTCTTTCCTTCTCCCCCTTGACGCCATCCCACATTCCTATATTGCTCGGGATTGGGTGGGCCAAGGGCTGTGCGTGCTGTGGGTGTCCCGAGGTTGCTCAGATCTCAGCAGACTGGAGCGAGCAAAAACCCTGCAGAGAGGGTGCTGCAGCCCTTCTCCCATCTGGGATGCTAACTGGAGACTCTCCTCAGCCCAACCATCAGTTTTTCATAGAATTTATAAGCAGGTACTTGTCTCTCAGACCTCTAACCTGCTGTTGGATGGGACCGAAGCAGGCTAGTGGCTTCCCATCTTATCCGTGCCTGTTGCCAAGCTGGGGCTTTAAAAGCTTAGGAGCTACTGGCATAGGAAACTTGCTCCTCTGCCTTCCCCTGAAACGTTCTTCTGAGCGAGATGGGGAGAGGGAGCGAGGTCTCTGGGCAGCTGCGCAGGCAGTCAGGGGTCCTGGGGGTCGGTCTGTTGGGTACGGGGGTGTGTGCGGATGGTGAGGGGCTCTGCGCTGGCCAGGGGGACCCGTGGGTGCCCGGGGCAACTCGTCCCAACCTGGCCAGGTTCTCTAGATCCTGTGAGAAGGATGCGAGTAAAACTTGCAGTGTAAACCTTATTTCTGCAAGGCTGACAGACAGCTGATCAGAAGAATCCTGTTTATTGTGAGGTTTAGAAAAACAATTTTTAAGCAAATTGCTTTTTTTTGGCAAGTAATGGGGTTGATACAGAACTTGGAATTACAGTTTTAAGAATACAAACACAAATACACAGTATCTTGTTCAACAAAGACAAAACAGACTGCTTCCCTGGGGAACATCAAATGAGCAAATAAATGGGCAGCAAACACAAAGTGGGGGACACACACGCAACAAAACCCAACTTGGAAGCCAAAACCCCACTGAAGGAGCAGCAGTCACATCTTCAATTTTACGCTCAGGCTGTACTTTCACTTTGCTTTTCCTGTTCGATAGCTGCCAGAAAAACAGAGGAAACAAAAACATCATCAAGAAACTTTATAGTGATTCTGCAGGATACAGATTTCTATGGTCTTTCTTAAAGCCAAGGGACAGTAAGTCCCCACTTGCTTTCTTTGGCCACCCTGGAAATGCTGACCTGTTCCCACGTCTGCGTAGCTAGTAGGGTGCAGTTCATGATGCGCAAACTTCCTCTCGTATTTAAAACTTAAGCATTGGTAGGGACAAAAAAACGGGTAAAAATCGGGTGTCTTATGTCCAGGGACAGCACATCTCCATGGCTATCAGTGCCAACATATCCAAAGTGGTTAGTGATCCTCTTCTGAAGGAAACCACTCGCCACGTCTGGTCCAAGTGCAGGGAAATGCCATTTTCACATCCGAAACTGAATGTGAACCACAACCCTCCCCTGGCTGCCTGTGCACGGTGGGTTTACAGGAGAAGGCCCTGCACAAGAAAAGCCCAGGGGTGCTCTGCTAAGGAAGATTGCCTCTCAGGTGAGGAGGATGATGGGTTTCTCTTGCTGCCTTATTTGCTGAGAAGGTGCCTGCCGCTCTCCTGGTCAGGGCCAACAGCAGGTACCGGGGCAGGGGCAGCAGCTCATCTGCCTGGTAACACAGTAAATCCAGAGCCCAGGCACCTTCTGGGGGTGCTGCCAGGGGTGCACACAGGGATGCTCCCTGCACTTCTGTGCCTTGGGAGAGGCTGGCAACATGGTAATTACAAACAGTTCGATCCTTTTACCTGCAACCAGCAGAAAAAGCGGTCTTGCTTTCAACAGAAGCAAGAGCAACCCCATCAGAAAGGATTTTTCAGACAAAACGCCCCACCGGTTACAACCACTTGTACCCTTGGAAGCCCAGCATAGAGTACAAGTCTTAGTATTATCCCCAGTTAAAGTCAGGGATGACTTTGAGCCTGTAATCCTACGATTAGTATTCATTTTGCATATGAACTGCAACACAGATTGTGTCCTTGCTACTCGTAGTTTAAACAGCCTCATAAGCACTTACTTTCTTTAGTGGGCAATGGATTTTTCTCTCTGGTTTCTGTCTTCTTCAGCTTGGTCTTGTCAAATGTTTCAATTTCTGCAAAATCTGGTTTGTCGGACATGATGGGTCCTGACAAAGAAAGGAAAAACACACCCGTGGCTTCATTAGCTAGTGCTGTGATACCAGCCATCTGCAAAGCATTTTCTGCTAGAAAAAAAAATATGAAAATACAATAAAAATGTTTGTTCAAAAAACCCCCACAAATCAAACACCTCAGTCTGGGACCTCTAGCCAAGGCTTGGCTCTTTCAGAGCAAAAGAGGAAAGGCATAAACAAAATTTTATCTAGATTTCTCAGACTAAACTTCTAAAAATTGTATTTTGCATACGGAAACAAGAATATCTCAGTTAAGAAAAGACAATGCATTAATTGCCAATAATCCACAGTCTCTCCTGATGTGAACCTCTATTTTAAGGAAAGCTGCTAACCAGAAAGTCTACAATAAACCCCAAATCCAATATGAACAAAGAACTTCAATTATGATTTTGTTTTAACTAATAGGATTTGCCTTTAATTCTGAGCACCCTGTCCTGGGTGCATACATACCCTCGGATCTGGATGAGCTGCTGTGGGCACTTATGCTTAACAATAGAGGACCGGTTCACCCAGCCCTTTGTTTGCTCTCGCACTCAATATCCCAGTCGCAGGCTCGGTGGGTTTGATTATGCTCTATTATAAGAGAAATCCACAAAGCACACCGGCATTCAACACTTCACCTGTCAAAACTTCACTAATCCAATTCCTGTTTTTAATAGAAATTCAAGTTAAAATCCAGCCTTGGCGTTATTCCCCTGATTTCAGTGGAGTTTCCCACCAAGGCGAGGTCTGGCCTGGAGATGGCTGACATAATTCCATTTTTTCCTTCCTGAAGACAATCAGATCTCATTGCTATCTGCACTAAGACAACAGAAGTAAATATTCACAGGAAAAAAAAGAAAAATGAAAAGCTACTAAAACCACATGGCATTACCGTCTGGCTGCTCTCTCCTCAGCTGCTTGGTGTCGGTCTGAGGCAGTGTGAGTTGAAAAAGGTCAGGGTAATCCCTCCTCTCCTCTCCTCCCCCCGCCCGAGCCCATCGCTATTAATATTGATTAGTTTAGTGCTGGGATTGCTCAGCGTTTAGGGAAAGGACAGATTGCTGCTGCAGAAAGTGCACAGGGGAGGGAAATGGGAAAACTGACATGGAAAACTGCCAAAATACATTTTAGTTAGTAGTTTTTTTTTTTTCTTTTCTCCTCCCTTACCAAGACAATAATATTTAAGTTTCCGTTCCTGCACTTCTTTTGCAGTGCTGAGGTTCAGAGTTAATGTGAGGTTTGGAGTTCATTTAAGGGCTGGTGCTGCAGTCTGTCGGGGGGTTTGAGGGGCGTTCAGCAAAGCGCCTGGGGGTTGTCCCCCCCACGCCCAGGCTGGTGGAAGCACGGGCTGGGGGGTCGGGAGGACTTGAAGCCCAGTCCTGGTCAGACAGCCGAGGGCCACATCTGGGATAAGCATGGCCCGAGCACCGCGATGGCATCCGGGATCATGTCCTGAAAGGAAGAACAATGAATCTTTCCTTCGCTCCCGTTTCGGTACCCACCACCCCGCTTGCTGGTGCCTCCCCCAGCGCGACGGTGTGCAGCTCTAAGCCAGCCCGGGCAGCTGCCTGCGGGCGACCTTCCCGCCTTCACCTCACAAGATGCTGCGTTCACCTGTCCTGGTCACGCGGCCGTTCCCTGTGCCCACCCATCCCGATGGCGTGGACCACACTGGACCCGCTCGCAGGGAACCTCTTTGGCTGCAGCGAAAGGAGAATGCACCGTAGGTGCCAGGTGATGTAATTTCACAAAAACCTTTAACTGGGAAGTGGTGGAGTCACCATCCCTGGAGGTACTGAAAAGACGTGTAGATGTGGCACTGACGGACATGGCTTAGAGGTGGACTTGGCAGTGTTAGGTTTACAGCTGGACTCGATGATCTTAAAGGTCTTTTCCAACTTAAATGATTCTATGAAAATTGCGAATAGCCCTTGCATTTATTCGCAAAGATGCATTTTGTCTTAGATGAGAAACTGAGTGGAGACAAGACTGCGTAGTGTGTGGACCCTGCCCGTACCAACCTCCTCGAGCGGCTGCTCTCGAGGGCTGCGGACATCCCTGCGGCTGTGGCATGGCCCCAGCTGCGCTTCCTGCTTCGCAGCACAAAACTGCTTGGGAAATCCTTCTTCAAGGCTGCCGGGTCTGGGAGGGCAGGGCTGTGCGCGTCCTCCTAGATGCTGGCGTGGGTTTTCTCTAGTGTAACTTTGGATGCCGCCGTCTGAATTACTTGTCTAGACTGCATGACAGTTAACGGGGAGGCAACTAACCTGGGATAAAATTAAGTGTACCCTAGGAGTATCTGGGTTTCTCTACTGACTACAAAGGGAGCTCGGAGAGACAGCGATGTCTCACAGCTGATGGGGAGCCCCGCGAAGGTGCTGTGCATCTTTCTGTTGGCATGCTAGGCTTAGGCAGAGTGGGTCTGAGTCTGGTATGCATGCATGCAGAAAATGGTTTTAACGTGTTTACATGTGTTTTAAGGACCTCTTTTTCCAATGTATGGTTAAAGGAAAATAATGAACACAAATGCAGAAAAAATTACTAGTTTTACTCATCAGCATTCATAAATAGTGGTTCCTTTCCACCCAGTGATTCTTTCCTTCATCCAGCCCATTTTTCATATCTTCAGAGAGCGCAGGGGTTGCTGCATGCCCTAGTAAACAGCAGTCTAAGAGCAGTTTTTCTCTGTGGCCGTGTCTGCAGTATTTGATGTAAAAGAGAATGGAGTACCATAGTGGTGGAACAGCCTGCATAACGCTGCTCAGCTGGAGCTCCAAAGGGATGGTCTGGGTCCCGCTGAGCTCAGCCCTGTGCAAACCTGGCTGTGCTGCTTCTGGACCTAAAATCGTCCTGGCACTAATGCAGCTGTGTTTTTGTTATGCTAAAATCTCAGTTGACTTGCGGAGACGGGCTTGGTTACCTCTGCATCTGCGCTGACTGTCCGTGGAAAATCAACGTGGGTGCATATTTAGGATCAGGACTTGGTTCCCTTGCTTCCATCCCTTACGCCAACCAGTTGTCAAAAATAGAAAGCTGTGTTCTTGATCCAAAACCCCTGGGAATAAGCAGGAAGGCGGCGGCTGGGTGAATACTCAGTGTAAGCCATAGCTGAGATCTGGCACTGAACAGTGTTAGTCTGTTGAGAGAGCATTAAACTCTTCTTGCTAGGCTGGACACCAGATTTAGAAGATCAAAAGATCAGAAAAGGCTTTAAAATGCAATCCGATTCATGAATTTAGACAGTTCATGAGTTAATTTTTTTAAATATTTGTCCGTTTTTACAAATAACAGAATTCTTATCTGATGAGGTTATAAGGGGAAAAACGGCTAAAGTTTTAGACTGGTGCAAGTTGTCCCAGATGTAGAGAGCAAACAAAGTGTTGAGGACAGTGAAGGAGAAGAATCTCGCTTCTGGTTTTCTGTGTACAGTCATGGGCTTGGCCCCCAGCATCCACAGCTGAGCTCAGGCTTCCCTAAACTTTGACAGGGTGGGCATGCTTGTTTTTTCACTGCCACCATTTTACCTGCCCAATTTATTGGCAGACCTAGTATTAAACACGGATTGGGGTGAGCTGTTTGGGTTTTTAGCCTGAAGATGACCAAGCATTTAATTCATATTAGGTTGGGTTTCTGAGGAAGGTGCAACAGCGTTAGTCCACGTAACATAATGATGAGAAATAGCACATCCTCACTCTCCATTGAAATCGGCAGATACTCATCTCCATAACGAACATCTTGATCATTGCACAAAGAGCCTGTCAAGCTTCTGTAGCTTGTAAGCACGGTACTGTGGTCAAACACAGCTCATGTTGGATTCAAGCCTCATATTTACATACTCCGTGCAGGACAGACAGCTGTACATAGTCTTCATATGGAAAGCTTGGAGTTTGGCCTGAGGGCATTGCGCAGTGCGTTGAGGCTGGTCATGGGAGGGAAAGACAGGCGGGTAATATTTCACTCAGACGCCTTTTACTTTCACTGGGAACTGAGGTATTCTTGCTGTATGAGCAGCAAAGCAGTTCAGTTACCTGACAGGTTTTCAATGGCAGGATTTCAGAGTCACCACTTTCCGTAAGGGGAACATGGCATTCACCAGGCCTTGGGATGACTGCGGTAGCAATGAACCACAGCAGTCTTTGGGTGGCAGGGGGGCAGCTGAATGATCCAGCATGCAGAAGTGAGAAAAACCAGCAAGGCAGCGGAGCAAGCAAACTATCGGATCTTCACAGATCCTACACACATCAAGCACGTAAAGCCATATTGGTACGACCATGTCTGAAAAGCTGCCTCAGATACAAGGGAAATTGCGTTTTATTTCAATCTGCTGCCAAAGGATTAAGGGCTGAGTCAAACCTGCCAGGACTGACACCTCTGATACCAGTGAGTCACCCGCCACAGGCAGCACTAAACCCTGCCTGGCAGCGCGAGCTGCCGCGTGTCTGTCAGACACCCACCGAGAAACAGGGGAAAACAAATACTTGCTACCAGGATGCAGTAATAGGTGAGAGGAAATGTTTAAAGGGAACTCAAATGCAAAGAAAAATTCAGAGGCGAGTCTGAAGAGTGAGGCTGGGAGGTTTGAGGGCTGCTGCCACTCAGCTTTTTTCCTTGGCTGTTGTCACTTGAAAGCAGTGAGCCCAGCCTGCGCGGGGCTGGGGCCGCAGGGACACACATATATAGATATGTATGGGTGATAGCCGTTCGTGGGCCGGGGGGATGCTGTACTCATGTTTGGTGCTCTGGAAATGCCAAGTTTCATGGAGACTAGGTGGGCAACTGCAGGAAGAAGGGGTTTCTTTCTCTTTGGTGCAACAGTGGGAATTGGATTGCATCTGTTCCTATACGGAGCTGAAGAGGGACAAAGCACCCCAACGCGAGCAGCCGGTTAGAGGAACAGACGCTCGAGCAGATCAGTGTCTGCAGCTGAGCCAATAAGCTGACACAACTGATTTTATAATCACATTAGTGCTGTCTCGAAATAACACACCCACTCAAATATAACAGTGATTTCATTTTCAAAATGTTGTGGTATTTTTGGTGCTAAAGGTAGGGGATTAATTTTTCAAGGTCAAAAACTGGGCTGGAATTTGCAAGCACCCAAATTCCCTTAGGTCCCCATGAGCATTGAGCACCTTCCAGAAAGGTAGCAGGATTGGGCGTGTTATAAGCTATCCTTAGAAGGTTTCCCGTCCTTAGGGGAACAGAAGAAAAAGACTACAGCCTCACTAAAAGGGTTTTCTTAGTTCCCTTTGTGCCTTTTGTTCCGTCTTGCTGCCAAAAAAAATATCCATGTTTGGGAACAGAGACAGGTTCCCAGGCTAAGAGACAATGAATCCTGGGGGTGTGAGGAAGGCAGCGATCTCTCTTTGGCAGGGCGTCTGCTGTAATGCTGCACGGCTGGGGTGTAAGTACTCCGTATTTGTCTTCTACTGTGTGCTTTACCGTTACCTAAGGTGTTGCATTTTCCTTATTGAGACCATTGAGCCTTCAGGGTGGGCGCATACAGAGGATGAGGGGAGAGGAGAGGCTAGTTGTAGATAGTCCTTCTGCTCGGGCTGTTTCTTCCAACCCCATGTTTTCCAAACAGCTCTGGAGTTCAGACAGTCTATATTAGGAGTCCCGTTGCAGCAAAGAACAAAAAGAGAAAACATAAGCTAGTGGGAGTGGAAATTTCCTTTTTCCATTTTTTTTGGTCTTCTAAAACTCAGTATGGGAGTGAGTTTTTAAAAGTTTAACCACATGGAGATTCTTGCAAGAGAACTTTCTCAAGAACTGACACAAAAGTGTGTATTCCAGCATAAAGTACTTGGCTTCAGCCTGGTCTTTTCTAGCGAAATGCGGTGACATATGCGTGCATTATGAAAGGAAAAAAAATTAATACAAATGTCCATGCACAT